TCTAAAGCAATAATGGCTATGTTTAATAAAGACATACCAGGAAAAACAATAAGTAGTCTTGTTACTTTATAATCTGCCAAAAATACACTTGGATGCCCCTTCCATACATTACAGATTACTCCAAACCCATAGAACAGAACATACAGAGGAACCCCTCCAGCCAACAAATCTGTAACTGCCAAATTTATCACCAGGTACGTGCTACGCTTGCGGAGATGATGGTCTCTTATAAAAACAATTATCGTACAGAGGTTAAGTGTTACTATGGCAACAGACTCGGCTAAGCCTACAATCATCCAGGTTATGCACTCGGGTGAAGACATCTCAGAGCTCTGTCTTTCTCTTGTTGCTGTTAGAAGTAATTACTCGTCTGCCAGTGGAAGGAAGTGACTTTGTTTTGTCAGGTTCTTTTATTAACTGTAGAAGACATGAAATTAACAGGAATTCAATACATGCTTACATCAATGTGCAGGAAGTCATTTTGGATTTTGAGGTATTGAAAACCAGTTTTCAATATGTCTTTTGCTGTTTTTTAATATTGCTGTTTTTGTATATTTTCAGCAATTTGTGTAATCCCCAAATATCGAAAGTTAATGCAAAAAAGCTTGGAGGACTTGTTGCAAGTCGAAAAATCAGTATTTCCTTCGAGGTCCATGACATGGGACGACGACGTAACATAGCATAAAATGACGTCATCATCTGTAAAGAGCCGCGATCTTAGTCCGTCATCAAGGATTTCATGATCCGCTTTGTGAAAGGTTAAGAATTTGGAGGAAAATAGTCAAAATCGACCAAATAGGCAAAAGTAGCCATGAAAAGATCAAGATCCTTTACCGATGACACATTATACCAAAAATTGTTGCCAGCCAATTTTATGGAAAGGTTACCAGATCTGGAGTTTGATTTTGATGCTTTTAAAGTTTCAAATTTGGTGTGGGCCTCAAAAGGTCCCTCTCGATCTGAATAGGGGAGTATCGAGCTTCAGTGCAAAGAAAAAAAAATGCAAGTACAATAGTTTGACTGAGGCCACCGCCAGACAAAAATTGTAACCGCGCGAGGCTATATGTGGAAAACAAAATATTTATTCATTTCATTTTTTATGAATAGCTTTTTACATCGCGCCGAATTAAGGTTAAGGGCAAAATTTTATTCAGTAAAATCAACAATCGCGTGTTCGAAAGTCGTTTGACGATTCTAATAGGATGAAAAAATTTCCGCACGTGGTTCGATTGATTCTTTCCTCAAATCTCAGTTTCTATGGAATAATATTATTTCTGTTAAGCACTTAAACATCCTTCAAAATTCGAATGCGATGAAAAAGTAAACGTGTCGTAGGCTATTTAACTCTGTACCAACACAACGTAGTAAACACGTTTCTTGGTAATGATATGATTAAATCAACTTCGTATTTAGTATAAAACTTCCTGATGGAGCAATTATCATAGCACTAGAAAATAAAACATCATCAAACTCAGCAGTAATCAATGTTATTTCCAAAACTTCTTCGAAAACAGTCACCAAAATAAATTTTATTAAATGTAAACTCAGCAATGAATTCAACTCGGAAAAAATCATAGTTCCAGATGGAATTTGAACCCACGACCCTCCGCGATATAGCCGGACGCTCTAACCACTAAGGTACTAGAGACTGTATGGTGAGCAAGGATGAAATATGGGTCTTTGACTGGAACTGCAACGCTGTCCCACAGCCAAACAATGACTTGACTCTTATGAACTCAATACTGCATCGCGCAGTCACATTGAGGCATATCAAAGATGCAACCAATCACCCTCCAAAGTGAGAATTTCAAAGAATATTGAATGTAGAAATGACATAAACTCAGAAAAAAAATCCGAATTCCAACTAGGATTTGAACCAACGACCCTCCGTGATCTAGCCGAACGCTCTAACCACTGAGCTACTGGAGAAATAAATTAACCCAAAATAAAATTGACAGTTAGTCAGTTTGAGTTAAAATAGGGAAAACACGGCAGCGACTATCCAGAATTGTGTACAACACTGCCCAATGGTTTTGAAATGTTCAACTAACTTTGAAGTAAAACCTAACGGTAAAAGCGCGCGACGTTTCGACGGAACTTCGGTCATTAAAAAGTTCAAAAGTGAAGATAACAATTTTGCAAAAGTATAAATATAAGACAAAGAAGAAAAAGTTCCTTATTTATTTGAATAAGCGCTTAACGTCGAATTAGCGCCACCTCGAATAAGCGTCCATCCTAAAGGCAATAAAAGTTAATAACTGGAAGCGCCCAGCCTCAAATAAGCGTCCACCCCGACCCCCACCCCACCCCTCTCCTCCTCCCCTGGGAGGATAAAACTATAATAACAAAGTATCGGGAAAATGCTAAGAAAGTGTTCCTTACCTTATAACTAGGAAACTTCAATTCCCGATTAGTTGATTTAGTGGCAATTCCGGCAGTACAGAACAGTCACTCTGCGTAAAGAAAATGCTTGTTAAGTGGAAAAAATTAACCTTTTGACACCATATAACACGATTTTAAATGTGGGATTTAATTAAAATGCATTGTCACGTTTTTACTTCAGACAGTGAAATAAAAACTGCCGCAAAATAAACGTTATTAACCCGGCCCTTTTCGCTGTAAGTCTGCTACAACTTTGTTCTGCTGACTTGAACGTAATACTTCACCCTTGAAATACACACAATTTCCTTTCTTTCATGAAATATGCAAATTTGATGCTTACTGGTTATACGATTTTAGATTCGAGCTACGAAAAAGAAGCAGAACATGCAAGGAAAACTCTTACAAGGACTGGGTAACTAAAGGCTCAAAAGAACATACATGTTATCTTCGGTTTCATAAGAACACTCTGTGCTAAACGACGGGCTGAATGGACAAGCCATGCGTGTAGTAAATTACTTTAGAAATTTGCTGTTTCTCCGAAACTAGAATTTTTCCAAACTTTGATGAAGGCCCAGGAGCTCCAATAATTTGTTTCACGAACAGAGACACTTTAGGTGTATATGACATGAAAAATAATTTCTGCTTATTTGGAAGGCCTTTCAAAATACAGAAGAATGGCGTTTTTCTTTTTGAAATATCTTTTTTCGTTTTAGAGTTATTGACGTTTTTCTATTATGCAAATTAGAGCAGTGATGACGTCATATTGTTTGAAACTAAAAAATGGTACGATACTGAATAAACAATATCTCTAGAAATATTGAAGCAGTGTCCTTGAAACTTGGCACCATAAATGTGCATCACAAAAGAAACAAAATGACACCCTTAGTGCTGTTGCCATAGCAACTCTTTCGGCTCCAGTCTCTTTCTGTCAAAAAAAGATATCCCCATTTGCAACCTCTAAAGTGAGATAAAGGGTCCTAGTTGGCACAGACATAGTTCCCATATTGTCTTAACTCCCATCATAAGATTGGGTGGGTTAGATGGTTCTTGGTTTAAGACAAAAACTGAGAATTTCAGTTTTTATTAAGAAAGCACCAGCGGTAAAACTGTTGTAATGGAAACGGCACAAGTGGGGTCTTTTGTTTCTTTTGTGATGCACATTTATGGTGCCACGTTTCAAGAACACTGCTTCAATATTTCCAGAGATATTGTTTATTCAGTATTTTCATAATGGGTTGACTAGCACGTATGGTTCGTCAGTTCCCTTCTAGTCTTCCTCACTGCCTTGTTATGTACTAAGATTTTTTTTATTAATGTGGTCATTACAATTATTATTAATATTATTATTATTTTGTAATATCGTTTATGATTTTTTCTTTGTTATCATAATCGCAGTGAAAATTGAATAAATTGAATAAATTAAAAATTACCACTTTTTAGTTGCAAACATTATGACGTCATCACTGATCTAATAAATTAATTAAACTTCAAACCTCTAACCTTCATGTAGGTGGGTCAAAGATAGTCAAGATACACCAGGTTGTTTGAGGCTCGGACAGTTTTGATGAGAGGATCTTCTGTTCCCTTTTTTCGTCGAAAACGTAGACTTACACTGAAGTTATGTAATCATATACATTGACTTTGGACCGCAGTCAAAACGCAAATGCGCACGGGAAGTCCCAATTAGCGGTAAATAAGAAAGGTACTTGGACCACGAAATATTGAATGGCCCGTTAAATGTCCTTAAGGCCTGTTTAAGTTTTAATAAACATTGGCCGGTTTCACACCACAGACGGATAACCCGACTTAGAAGGTCTATCGGCCTCTCGTGTGAAAACGGCCGTTGTGATAAAACATATATAGAGCTAATAAAGTTCCTTGATCGACTAAACCGGGAGATTCGGCAAGTTTGAGTTTTTATATGGTGACGAAAACCCATAGCCGTCGCGTGACTTCCTGTTTCTAACCTAATTGAGAACTTGCAGCTGGAAGGTCATATAAAACCTATTCTGGAAAAATTATTCGACTTTCGCAGCGTCATTCAATGTTGTCATATTTATCTCCTGCTTTGGCAAACCTGCCCTAAATTGTTGATTGTTGGCCCAAGTTCAGTCTTCATATTTTGTCCGTTAATTCGTAACAACTCGTTAAAATGTTGTTTCTAACTTTCGAGAAGCTCCCATATTCACGATTAAGTTGTGAGGTGCTTTTAATCATTCAGTGTTTTTTTTTTAAATATACTTACCACGTCAAAATAAGTTTGTTGCCTGTTTTTCCTCTTACTGAAGCACCTTCAAAACGGGTTGAAACCTTCAATGAAGTGATTCTACTCGGTCCATTGATATTTACTTAGTAAACAACAATGCAACAAATTTGCGAATCGCTAATTTAGCTACGATTTCCTTTCTCCTGTTTCTTTGAAAGGTTTCAAAATCTCGAATGTTTAATCCTTTGAAATTCTCTTCAGTCAAGCCCCAATTGTCTCAATTGACCCTCACAATATGAGTCACGAAGAAAAAAATTTCTAGTCTTGTTTAAGAGATATAACTACTCCAAAATGGATTTGTTGCCGAATTTTGCATCGTCAAAACCAGTCTGTCACCGTCGACCATTGACTATTTACCAAGCAAACAATGCAACTAATTTAAATAATGTTGTCTTTGGCTACGACCTCCTTACACTTGCTCTAGGGAATGCTCTAAACTTTTGTTCCTTTAGGATTATTTGTTTAATTTGTTTCTTGTGACCTTTCTGACTAATTTCGCTTTTATATCTCTGTAGAACGACTGCATGCAACATTTGGTTCATTTTAACACGGTTTGGTGAAGACATTGGTTTATAGGCAGGTTGCGTTGGACAAGGTTATATCGTTGCTCGACCGTTATCTTCACTCATATGCATCAAGAGAATTAAACGAATCTTTTCCAAGAACCTAGTGTAATGTCTCTGTAAAACGACTGCATGCAACATTTGGTTCATTCTAGCACGGTTTGGTGAAGACACTGGTTTATGGACAGGTTGGGTTAGACAAGGTTATATTGTTTCTGGACCAATATCTTAAC